AGACTTGCTTGAGCCCAGGAGTTGGAGGTTGCTGTGAGCTGCTATGCCACGGCACTCTACCCAGGGGGATAGCTTGAGGTTCTGTCTCAAAAAAAAAAAAAAAAAAAAAAATTCACACATTCTTACAGGTAGCAATCTATTAGGATATAATAAAAGAGGCAAAAAGATCATGTGGTGTTGGGTGCTGGGCTGGTTTTTGCTTTTAGCAATTGTTTGTTTGGTACAGTGGAATTAAATGATGTGTCTTTTCCAGGATAATATGTGAGATACTCAGGAGAGGCCACGTGGAAAACAACCTTTCTTTTAGAAGTAGATTTAATAACATTTTAAACTATCCAGTAATTGAGAGGTAATGACTTGTTGCAAATTCACAAATTGACCCAGTATAGCCTCTTCTAAAATTTGAGTGTCTGATTTTACTATGAATTTCTTTGGGGCATTTGATATTTGTACATTTTTCTTTAATAGGAGTTTCAATATTCCATATGTTACTTGCCCAACAGTCATAGTTTTCCCTAGGATAAAACATTACATTCATTACAAATAAGCTTGTTGCTCATTTGCTGCATCTGTGTTTATTTCAAGTAGTTTACGCTTAGGGAAAACCTTCATGTGCTTTGTAATATGCCCCGATCAAGTTTACAGTTGCAGCTAACGGTCTGCCTGAAAACAGCTCAGTGACTAAATGAAATGCCAGAAGCTGTGTCCCAAAATACAACCAGTTTTTTTTTTTTTCTTGTGTTTGCAATAGTACTAGAGCCAGTTCACCCAGAATATTTTTTTTTTTAACATTTCTTTGGTCAGATGAATCACATGGAACATTAAAAAAGAAAAAAAAAACTTTAATTGGAAATTTTACAATTGAAATGACTTTATCTTATAGACCACATACAAATGTTTTTAGACATTGAAAAGTGCTTAAAAACCAACTGTGCCCAGTCCCCGTGTCCTTTCCTGAGTGTAGAGCAGAGGGTGACATCTTGAGCTGAAGCCATCTGTCCCCAGCATCAGGTATTCTGTATCCTCACCCCCACCTCCCGCACTCTCTTCCTTGCCCATTGCCCCTCACCCTCTTCCTGTTTGCTGTGGCCTAGATCAGTACAATGTATCTGTGAACTCTAGCAGAGACCTATGGGACGGTTCATAGGTACAGTCAGACTTTTCTAAGCAAGTAGAAATATGCCATACATATAGAATAGGATAACTATTAGAAACCCTGTCACTTCCTATAGAGGAAGTGAATTTCTTAATTTTCTCACTGTAAGAGTTACTTCTTAGCCAACTCTCTTCTGTGACCAGAGGCTGTTGTCTATTTTCTGGGCTCATATTTAGTCAAAACTCTTAAGACTCCTGAGCCAAGTTTTGTGTAGCTGGCTTTCTTACTTTGGGGTTTATACTAAGTGTTAAAGAAGCCAGGGGGCTCAGATCTAGATAAGAGAAGCTAGTATTCTAAAATATTGCTACTATTCTTAAAGTCTACCCAATGAAGCTGTTTCAGATTGTGGATCTTTGAGTTCTATATATGTATATTTTGTTCAGACTAAAACAAGCGTTGCTAGGTGACTGTTTGGCTGTGCTGTCTCGGTAGCACACTGACAGACTCCAGCTTTCCCCCTCTGGAAAGATTTGACTTAAGTGCCCTACACATTGAGCAAATGGGTCCAGGAGCTTGTCTTGCCAAGGCTAGCTCATGGCTTGGTGGCGATACTTCTTCTCCTTCTCCGCCCAACGTAGACTTGGTCACCTTAAAGATGAAAACAAGGTTTAAAAATAGCTCCTGGTCTGTGGGAACCTTAGCTTGGATAATTACAGCAACTGTGACTACGAAAAGGATGGTTTCAAGGGTTAAATCTTTCTTGTAAGACTCAGTTTATTCACATCCTTCACCCCATTTCTTCACCGCTTCCTTCTCCTTTTCCTCCTGCCTTGGCACTCTCTCTCCTTCCTCTCGCCCTCACTGTGAATGTGATAGTTATGCAAATTCTGTTCTTGGCAGTGTCTGCCTTCAGTAATCAGCTTTGTCTGAATCTCAGGCTGCTCCCGAATAAATCACTTGCTTCTCTACAGAGCACTTGAACCCATGGCAGTCGGTGCTTACCTTTGTCTCCTTTTTCTCCCTTGTGCCCTCGAGGGCCAGGTGACCCAGGATGACCTGGTGGTCCCACAGGGCCTCTGTCACCTAGAAGGACAGACAGGGGCATAAGTGATGCAAGAATATGGGGACTGAGGACAGGGAGCTAGTGTAGCACCAGCAAGGGAGAGATCCTTTTCAGCAAGAGGTCATTATTACATAGAATTGTGGGGGCTGGCTCCCTCCCACCACTTACCTTTAGGTCCTGGGGTGCCCACCTCTCCCTTCTGCCCAGGGGGTCCTGGAATGGCTCCATAAGCTGCAAGGGGGAGAGAAACTGGCCTTAGACTAAGGTTGCTTTGCAGCTTGGGAGGTCAAAGTAACACAGATAAATGGTGTTGGAGTTTGGTCTTGTAAGAGGAAACAAAGTTTAGAATTTGATTTTCAGCATCTCAAGTGTTAATAACCTCAAGTTTTTCACGAGACTCTTGTCTCTAGAGCAGGCCCCATGTGAGACTGCAGTGAGTCTGACGCAGGGAGAGCAACTGGGATGCCCTTACTTCGGAAGAAGTCCATGAGGTCCTCAGTCACGTTGCTGTAGGCAGAGAAGACCTTGCTGATGCCAGGTGGTCCCTGGGGCCCAGGCCGGCCAGGTGGGCCCTGGACAGTGTAGGCCATCCCTTGTAGCAGGCCCTGGCCTGTAAAACATCAGAATGTGGGCGCAGGAAGCAGGACTCACCCCACACCCTCTTCAGCAGGAGTACAATGTGCCCTGATGTCTAACTTCCCAGCGAGAAGCAGTCTTGGGGCTTCCTTTGTATTCCCATGTGACTGGCACAGGTCTCTACCCACTGTGGGCCTTCACCAAAGACAAGTAACTGTTCAGATAAAATACCCAGCAAAAGGACTTCTCAGTCAACTTCCTTCCCCAGCCCCGCAGCACACTAGCATGGTGGTAATGACTCCTCCAGAACCCAGAACGAGTTTGGTGTTGAGAAAGCAAAGCATAGCACAGAGCCCGGTGTGCTCTGTCCATGCAGCTTGGGTTCCAGCACAGAGGCTGCTTGAGCTGAGTGAGCTGAGAATTAGAATGGGAACTCCTGTCTTCAGTCCCTGCCTATCTGATTCCAGAACTGCTGTCTTCACAGCCTAGCTGCTCCAAAAATGGGAGGGCCGGTCTGGAAATGTCCACATGCTCCCCCAGCACCAAGGCCTAAATGTCCTTACTTACGCTGCAAGCTCTCCGACACCCGGACAGCCAACTCATTGTAATCCAGATGTCCAGCAAAGCCATCCGTGAAGGGTCCATTGTCACCACCGTACATGCCCCCTACTGCTGCTGCCCCATAGTCTCTGCCCAGGCCGGTGCTATAGGGGTCGGCTGCACCAAAGGCCACCCCTTCACCCAGGGTGCCTGCACCAGCCCCTCCTGTACTCGCAGAGGAGCTGTAGGAGCTGCCCCGTCTGCTGGACAAGCTGTGTGAGGAGGAGCTGCTTGCCCGACGGTAGGAGTCATCCATGGACAGGAGGCGGCTGTCCCCGGGTGGTCCCTGTGGCCCGGGAGGACCCGGGGGGCCAACTATGAAGCTGCGCACGTCAGGACCTGCCAGGTGGGGAGCTGTGTGAGTGGGAGCTCAATCTTGGTGGCGACAAAGACTGGGGACCTACGGGGGTCTCCAGGGCACAACACCTCAGCAGCTGGAAGTGAAACTCAGGGTCGTGGTACACAGGCAGGGGACTGCTGGTGGGAAAGGAACCGGGCTATGCCTGACTAGTTTTCCCATACCAGCCTCCCACTTCCTTTGAGCACCCTGCTGCCCCTCGGATGGGAAGAGCGAGGTCTGGGGAAGGGTAGAGGGACACCACCTACTTGTGAGGTAGCTGATCAGCTCACTCCGGAAGCTGTCGCTATTGTCAGCCGCATAGGTCGCCAAAGCTCCAGAGACACCCGGGGGCCCTCGAGGACCTGGGGGACCAGGTGGACCTGGAGGGCCTGGGATGGATGACAAGCCAGCAGCTGAGCAAGAGAAGAGAAAAGGGTCAGGGCCATGCTGTGGAGGGAGCTAGACTCAGTCCCAGCTCAGGAAGAGGTGGCAAGGTTGGGCTTCCTGAGGTGGGGGGGCCAGTGCTTACACCATCCATGAGTGGCTGCTCCCACAGATCCTCCCACTCCCAAGTCTGAGCCTCATTCAGCTCCAGTCCTGTCTCTTCCTCCCAGGTCCTCCTTGACCTGCATTAGAGACTAGGTGGCCCTGTCTCTCCTGGCTCCTTCCAGCGGCCCTGGGAGCCCTTGCTGAGCAGAGCCATCTAACTCTCCATGGCTGCCCTCTGCCCTCCTTGTGCTTGCTCCCCAGTGCCCTACTATGCAAGTAAGATGAGAGGTCCTCCATGCTGATGCTGGACCACACATTGCCTGGGATCCCTGGTGGCCCTGGGGGTCCTGGGGGTCCAACGATGCCTCTGAATTCAGACCCTGAGACACCAGGGGAGTGGAGGGAGTCAGTCTAGGCCTATGTCAAGGGGCTCTGTCTCTTCCCAGACCACCTGGACGGCTGTCCCCTGCATAGCCTCACCTTGAAGCAAGGAGAGGAGCTCCTCATAAGATGTTCCTGGCAGGCCAGGGGGGCCAGGGGGACCAGGGAGCCCAATGCTGATCCCAGAACCTAGAGGACAGAATCTCAAGCTGTGATGGATTCAGATCAGGCAGGGGAGGCAGATGGAAGCCTATCAGAGAGGCAGTCAGACACCCGAGCAATTTGAATAGAAGAAGGGCAGGGGGAGAGGGACAGAGGGAAGGACGCAGAAACACCGTCCTGGGCCACCACCCAGAGGGTAGGGGCTGAGAAGAGCAGAGGTCAAGGACATCTGCATCATCCTGCTGCTCTGTACACTGGACTGTGTGCATGAGAGTGTGTGCTTGTGTGCACCACATACATGGCATGTGTGCACAAGAGTCCCAGACCCTTGATCCACTCCTTGGACATGACCTAAAGAGTCCCACACTCTTCTGGGGTCATTCTGCTGGTTTGGAGCCTGGCAAGAGGTCAGTGGGGCCACCTCAGGAAAGTTCAGTACCAAGTCCTTATACCAGGCGCCTCTTGACCACCCCTCCTGGCCACCCTGCCTGGAGAGGGCAGGCCAAGGGATGGACACTCACTTGACATGTAGCTGAGAATGCGGCTGCTCAGCTCTGCATAGTCCAAAGACTGGAGAGACCCATCCCCAATGGCTCCTGATGGCCCCGAGGGACCCCGAGGACCAATCAGTTGCTGTAGGTATTGGTTCACATCTTCCCCTGGAAAGGAGAGGACATGCTAGCATGGACCTACCCAGGACACAGACATCCGAGGCCTAGCCCCATGCATGGACTGGCTTCAGAAGGACATTTGTGAATTCTTGTTTCTCAGGTCCACACTGGCTGGGCTCCTGAAGGGGCACCTGTCTGTCTTCCTGGCACTGGGGGCAGGATTTGCTGCTCCCTTTTCATTGGTTTGCTGGCTCCTTGCCCTGGAGGACTGACTCCCACTCACAGCCTGACAAGTGAGGTCAAGAGGTAGTAAAGATGGTCCCACCCTTGAGCCCACCACAGGCACTCACGCTGCAGCACAGCCAGAATGTCTTCAGAAGAGATGGAGCTGGAGGACAGGCTGACACTGTACCCCGAAGCTGCCAGGAAGAAAATACCGCGTTACCTGCCAGGTGGGCACCAGACCAACACCCTCATTATTTCAGAATCTGAAAGTCCCAGACAACTAGCTGTTTCTCTTTGGGGGAAACAAATGAATAGAAATATTATGAAGCTATTTTGAAAGTATGAAAAGGTCAAAAGTTGTTTTTCTGGTAGGAACTGCAGTTTCTTTTCAAGAATTTGCTTTAGCCCTGCTGTCCCCAACCCCCAGGCCACAGACCAGTCTGCAGCTTGTTGGGAACTAGACCCCACAACAGGAGGTAAGCAGTGGAGGAAGCAAAGCTTCATCTGTGTTTACAGCTGCTCCTGACTGCTGTCATCACTGTGTCTGTGTGTGTGTGTGTGTGTGAGCTCCTGTCACAGCAGCAGCAATAGATTCTCATAGGAGCACAAACCCTATGGTAAACTCCACATGGGAGGGATGCTGCTTATGAGAATCTAATGCCTGATGATCTTAGGCTGAGATGTGATGCTCTTGAATCATCCTGAAACCATCTCCCCCAACCCTGGTCCATGGGAAAATTGTCTTCCATAAGCTGATCCCTGGTGCCAAAAATGTTGGGGACCACTGCTTTAGCCTAACTCTCATCAGACACTGCCAACCTGAAGGCTCTGTTTTCATGAGCAGAGAAAAAGTGCCCATGGTCACATTAGCAAGTGCAGGAGGCTCATTCAGCACGGTTGTTGGTATGTTCTTAATCTGAGCAAACCCTGTTGAAGCTGTGCTCCAGGGGCCAGATTATCATGAATTCAGAATTAATGATCGTGTTCAGGAGAAGGGCAAAATGAACAGCAAATTAAGAGATGAAACTCTGGGAGAAAAAATGGCCCCCAAGGATAAGATGTATAGGTAGAGGCTCACTCTGTAAGTAGCTCATGACTTGGCTCGCCAGCTCTGAGTAGTTGAAGGTCTCTCCTGTGATGGTGGTGACAGGCCCCGGGGGGCCAGGTGGACCCGGAGGACCCTGAACTCTAGACAGGTAAGATCTGATACGGTCACCTGCCAACAAAGGAATAAAGCATTGTCAAGCCTGTCCCCCTGCCGGAGGACAGGTCCTCCCCCCAGGGGTGAGCTAGAACACATGAGGAAATGCCTGCCTGCCCCCATGCATGAGCCCAAGGCAGGGCCAGCAGGGAGCCTAGATGCCTCTTGTTGTCTTTCTCCTTGTCACAGATGGAGAAACTGAGGCAGAGGCCTGTGCTGGGTCAGGTGGTCTGTGGGGCCTGTGGTCCGACAAGACTCCAGTCAGCCACCCATTTGACAAATGACCCCCGTGCAGGTATGAGGTGAGAGAGTCCGTGCGTGTGAATGTATGTGTGAGTGCCAGCCGCCCTCCCCAGTGTGTGGGAGCAGCTGCAAGGCAGCCGGAGTCGGGCCCTCCCAGCCTGTAGGCTGGGCTGTAGTGGTGGAAGACCTGGGCCTGGCCACACAGACTGTTGCCCTGACACACACACCTCACACAGACACACAGACACACACACAGACCCCTCACACAGACATACGCTCACACGTTCCCACCGCCCTCCAAGGCCTGCAAGGCCTGGGTGCTGGCCACTCACTCTCCATGTACTCAGAGATGTACTGCTGAATCTCCCGGCCAGAGCTGCTGATGGAGCCTGGAGGCCCTGGGGGTCCTGGGGGACCTGGTGGGCCCTGCAGGTATGTGGAGCTCGATGACCCCCCTGCAAGAAAGAGAAAGCAGCCTGAGCTGGCTTCTCTAGCCCCAGGGTCAGACAAACAGGGGCCCAGGTAGTGCTTCTAGGGCAGCAGTTCTCAACCTGTGTGTCACGACCCACAGAAACTGTATTAAAGGGTCACGGCATTAGGAAGGTTGAGAACCATTGTTCTAGGGTCTGAGGAGGAAGGGTCTCTTTCAGGGGAAGAAATGGGACTATGGTGAAAAGGAGAGTCCCTGAGAAGAGAGAAAAGGACTGCCTGTGGCAGCCAGTGTCTGACAGGGGCAGAGCGGGGAAGCTGCCCCAGACCAAGCCTCACTTTCCTCCAGCAACCTGCTCACCCTCACATAATGTCCCTCTGGGCACCCAGCACCCAGGGCCTGCTCTGTCTCGATCATTCACAGCTGGCATTGTTCGTTGTCTTTACATACATGGGAGCCCTTCCCTCCCACCCCACTGATTGTAACCTCCTTAAAGGCAGCTCATAGATCCTAGCACAGGGAGGAGGTGCCCAGTCAACACCTTGTCAGGGAGAAACGGGTGAATGGATAAAATCACATCCTCATTGGAATGATCAGCTTTGCTAAAGGAAGGAGACAGGAACTTTGGTCAACTTTGGTCACCTTTGGTTCTTACCTCGAGAAGGACCACTAGGAATGCCAGGAGCTCCTGGGATGCCAGGATCACCTGGAATCCAAAACAAGAAACCCTGTTTACATCACCTCCTTCAGGAAGCCTTCCCTGATTAAGCCCAGCCACACTCAGTGTGTGGCCATGTTTCTGCAATGATACAACCAGGTTGGTGCACAGAGATTCTGTGTGCCCACTTCTCCCCCCCTTTGGCCTTCCCTTTCTCCAACCTCTGTCCATCCCAAGTCTTCAGCAGCAATAGCACCTGCGGCCTTCTCCCCAGGCTCTGGGCTCCAGTGCCAGGCCTTCCCAGATGCCTCAACACCTTCCTGGCTGCTCCCTCACTGACCTTTGTCTCCTTTGGGGCCCTGGGGGCCAGGTGGGCCTGGTGGTCCCTGAAGGTTGAGTCCAAGAGAACTGGACCCTGGAAACCCACAACACAGAGACCGGTCAGCCAGGGCTGCAGAGGCTCTGGCTGGAGCCAGAACGGGGCAGGAGCTCAACTCTTACCTGAGCTTGAGAACCCTGGGGGGCCCTGCTCGCCTGAAGGATACACAGAGGGGGGCAGTTAGTCTCACCTTCCTTGCCCTGTCCCCAATATCATCCTCAGAGGCTCCCCAAGATCCATGGTTGCTGAGACAGTGTTGGTCTTTGGGCAGTAGACCAAAGCAGCACCTAGAGCTGCTACACACACACACATGCATGCACACACACATGCACACACAATCTCACACCACACACACTCACATTAACATTCAGCCACTCACAGAGACACACTTTGACCCACCGGTGCTCATTTGGACCAAATGTGTTTCCATTGAGCTGAAAGCTCTTGGAAGGTCAGCTTTTGCCAGCCCACCCCTCCCCAGGTTTTGTTTGATGCCAGCTCTACTGTACCTTGGTGTCCTCGGGGGCCTGGGGGACCTGACGGAAGGGGGTAGAGAGGTTTCAGACAAGTACCAACCACATGTTGTGGCTTCTACAGGCCCATAGTGGAAGGGATGGGAGCTTCTCCCACCAGGCCAAAGCAGGGTGGGAATTCTGTGTGGAGTTTCTGACCACCATGCTCCACCCTGCCCCATGTTCCAGACTGCTGGGGGTGTCCTAATGGACACGGCAGAAGGATGAAGAAATGTCTCAGCTTATCCAGCCTCATCAAAACTCCCCTGCCTGCCAGGCAGTTGAGCAAGGGACATACAGTGGCTTCTGGGATCCCTCAGACATTTTCTCACCTTGGTCACCCTTGGGGCCTGGGGGGCCAGGTGGGCCTGGGGGGCCAGAGAAGAAGGTTTCTGCAGAGAAAAGAAATAATTTGAGTGTGGACACAGTGGAGTCTGTGAGGGGCAGCACCCAGCACAGCACAGGGCTCACTGCTCACCCTCATCAGCGGGTGGGTAGGGCGGGAGCTTGGGAAGTTGGATATAAAGATAAATGAATGAATGAACAGATGGATGCGTGGGTGGGTGGATAAATGAATTCTGCTACAGACAAGTTCTGGCCTCCTGTTTGCTCTCAGGTGTGTTCCATAAGTTTCTATGTTGTCGCATTAATCTCATTGCTGCCCACAGGTCTTAGCTGCTGTACAGCTACTGTATCCTCGCAGAGGACAGGAACCAGGTCTCCCTAGTCAGTCCAGAAACTCCCCAAGGGCAGAGCTGGCTCCCTTTCTCAGGCCAGGCTGCCAGGGAGCTTGGGTTATTCCCGCCATGAGCAGCAAGTGGCAGGAAGAGCATATAAACACAGCCCGTGGAAAGCCAGGAGAAGGAAGCATGTGAGCCAGCCAGGAAGACCACAGGCTGTGAATACCGCCTATGCCTGGGCAAGGGCTGAGGTGCGGGACAGATGTGATTCAACTCCCTGACATTACCTGAGTTCGACAGGAAAGATCCTGGGGGGCCTGGTGGGCCTGGCAAGCCTTCTCCTAGAAAAGAGGACCCCCAAGACTTATTAGTGTCAAGAGAGGAGCAGAGGGTTCATATGAATTAATACAGAGGGGCCTGGGCTCAGGGTCCCATTGCTCCCCATCCCAGCAGGGAGCCTGGCCATCATCCAGAGGGCCTGGAATAGAAGGTCCCGTGGAAGAGAGTGTGGAAGAGGCAACCCTGAGCTCAGGGAGCTGATATTGCTCCTGGGAGCAGGACCTTGGCTTCCTCGCTAAGTGCTGTCACCTGTTCCACAAGAGGTCCCACCTTCCAGAGGTCCCTGAGATGCTTACCTGGTGGCCCACGTGGCCCAGGTGGCCCTGGAGGGCCTCGTAAATCAAGACCTTCTGTAGAGAGAAGAAAACAGAAATGAGCAGAAGTCGTCAGAGGCTGTTCTCTGCTGCACTTCCATACCTCACCACAACTGCCAGTCACAGGCATGCTGGGTGACACAGCCCAGAGACCAGGCCCCGGCTCATAGCACGGGGACCCTCCAGTACGCCATCTGCAAAGGGTGCCTTCACTCAGAGGGAGGCGAAGCTGCAGTCACGTTGCCTGGCAGCTGATGAGGCCCCAAGAACTGGGGCCTGGTGTCAGAGACCCTGGGTTCAAATTCCTGCCCTCACATCTAGCTGGTGACTCTGGGCACGTTTTCAACCTGGCTCAGCCTCTGTAAAGCACAGTGAGTCCCACAGGACAGGGTGCTGTGAAGACTCAGTGAGACACTGCTAAATGCTGCACCCCTTACAGGACAATAACACAGTGACCACTGGACCAGTTGTGGCTGTCATCTGTGTCCTTTGGCACATTGGCTGTCTAGGTGGAGGCCCAGAACATCTCCATCTGGACTCTTTGAAGGACTCTTAGAGCAGGAGGATGCTGAGAGTCCACGGACCCTTGTCACTGCTCCCGGAGTGGGGGCTGCACTCCTGCCACATGTTCACAGTCAGGGCCAGGGCTGCCCTGAGTCCTCCTAGCATCCTAGAACCTCTCTGGCAGCTGCCCCACCCTCCTCACTCACCCTCCCACACTAGACACCCCCCTGCTGTTCCTTTTAGCTTTCATTGCTGCCATCCTCATGTCAGGCCCTGGCGGGTGACTCACTGGTACAGCTGTCACAGGCCCTGAGTGTGCTGCCATTGCTCCGCACCCACCCCCAGCACCACCCGCTGGAAGAATGAATGGTGCCACTCACGGGCAGCAAGGACCTCAGAGATGGAGCCGCTACTAGCCAGGAACGATTCACCAGCAAGTCCTCGCTCACCCCGTGGGCCTGTGGGGGGACACAGAGTTACGGTGGGCACTACAGCAACTGGTTCCTGCTTCCCCTTGGGAGCTGGGACTCAGGTGCCAGGTGTGGGACAGGACCATGGTGGAGAGAGTGGGGCCCAGGCCTTGACCACTGGGTTGTCAGTGGCCAGAGCACCCCAGGAGGAACTGGGCCAGCCTTCCTTAAGCCTATTTTTGACATTTGGAGTCAATGGACAGAGGCATGATTATCAAGGTCTGGTCACATGAGCCCTGAGGCCTGTGTAAAGAGCTGAGCTCAACCCTGGCCAGGGGGCACAGTGCCTCAGTCTCCCTGTCCCGAGGACTCCTACCTTCTCAGAACCATGGAAGAGGGTGACAGGAGGTGTCTCCCCTGGCAGCTGAGGCCTGGCAAGCCTGGTGAAGAGCCCCGGTGACCCCGGTCTCCTTTCCCAAACCACACGTCAATTACTTCATCTAAAACACGGGGCCCAAGTTCCCCCACGAGAAAAGTCCTCCTCACTCACAGGGCCATGTGTTCTTCCAGGGTGTGACATACCTTGCTGTCCTGGGAGACCAGCTGGGCCAGCAGGGCCTGGAAATGGGATTGGGGGAGAAAAGGCTAAATCACACCCCTTGGGTTACAGGAACTGAAGAAAGGGCAGTCACCCAAGTACACACCTAATTCCTCACAAGGCCTGGAACAGTGGCCCAAAGAAGTCAACTTGCTTATTTGAATTTGAGAACAATAAACAATTTGAGACCAGCCCTGTGTGGTCCAGCTTGCTGAGAGTATCTCTAACAGATCCTGGGACCTGCAGGAGGCAGGGCTGTCCTTTGAGGCACTGTCATTTAATGGTTAGGGACTACTTCTACGTTTTCCAAGTGGCCTCCCTCTCATTGGAGCTGGTCAGCAGAGGGGCTGGTGCATGCTTGCATTGGCTGGGTTAAGTTGTATTCTTCATTTGTGTGTAAAATGTTTAAATAATTAAAAGATGCATATAACAAAGTAACAGGCATTTTGGAAAAATAGGAAAAAACTGTCCATAATTCTTTAGCTTGTGAATATTTCATCTTATTTCCTTCCAGAACTTTTTGTTTGTTTGTTTTTGTTTTTTGAGACAAAGTCTTACTCTGTCACCTAGTCTAGGGTGCCCTGGTGCCATCTTAGCTCACGGCAATTTCAAACTCTTGGGCTTAAGTGATCCTCTTACCTCGGCCTCCCAAGTAGCTGGCACTATAGGAAACCACCATGATGCTGGCTAATTTTTCTGTTTTTAACAGAGATGGAGTTTTTCTGTTGCTCAGGCTGGTCTCAAACTCCTGAGTTGAAGCAATCCACCTACCTTGGCCTCCCAGAATGCTAGGATTACAGACATGAGCCACTGTGCCCAGCCTGAATACCTGGCTCTCTAAATAATACTGTTATTTCCCAGGAATTTTTTAATTTTTGAGACAGAGTTTCACTTTGTTGCCCAGGGTAGAGTGCTGTGGCATCATAGCTCACAGCAACCTCCAACTCTTGGGCTCAAGCAATACTCTTGCCTCAGCTTGAGTAGCTGGGACTACAGGTATCCACCACCATGCCCAGCTATTTTTAGAGATGTAGTCTCACTCTGACTCAGGCTGGTCTCAAACCTGTGAGCTCAGGCAATCTACCTGCTTCAGCCTCGCAGAGTGCTAGGATTACAGGCATGAGCCACCATGCCTGGCCCACTCCCAGGAACTTTCTTCAGAAGTCCTCATATTTTTGACATGATCCCATCATTGTTGGATGATTTGGGGACACTTTCTCCTAATAGATTGCTAGCATTTTTGTTGCCCTGGATGCATACTATCAAGTTGTTAGCTCAAGTGTTCTGCCTGGTTGCAGGCTAGGAGGACAGACTGGGCCACATCCTCGCCCTGTTGCTTACTGGCCCTGAGCCTCAGCCTTCCTCCCTGTGAATCTGAAGCAGCGTCGGCCTCCTCTGTGGTGAGGTATGATAACTGACCTCTGAGACAGTAAGAGTTTGTTTTTCTCAGGCCAAACTCCTGACTTTCTCTCCTGGGCTCCCACTTGGGGGTTCAGCACTTAAGTGAACATAGCTAGAGTTGGTGCAGCCACGGCCTGCTGCTGATTTGGGCAAAGCAAAAGAAAGGACTGACCTGGAGCACCTGGAGGTCCTGGAGGTCCCATGGCTCCTGGAGGCCCTGGGGGGCCTGGGACAGTGAGCGTCGATGACCCCTCTGCAAACAGAAGACACGTGGAACACTGAGCCCCAATCTTCTTGCCCAGAAGTGCTGGGACCTGAGCCAGGATGTAGGCTGGGCAGGCTTACGTTTCTTCCTCTCATGGCTGCTAAACTTTCCCCCTTCCTTTGCTGCTAATCCAAAGGGATCACAGCCACATCTTGCCCAGAGCACCGTGCTGGCAGACTGGCACTTCTTGGAGGGCAGAGCCAGGGTAGGTCCCCGGTACATGAGAGAGACACAAGAAGGAGGGTCCCTCCCAGACCTGCCTACCTGAAGTTACGATCTTGCCTGGAGCTCCCGGTTCACCTGGGAGGGGAGGAAGAGGAGGAGAGTGGTTGTTCCAAGGATCAATTAGTAGCTCCATAAATTATTTGTAAGGCTTCTGATTGCACTTGAGACCACTCCTGGGGCCTCTCACTCTCCAGCTAATGGCATTTTAATGAACTGCAGGGGAGCGCTCAGGATGCATTAAGCAGGGTCTTTCATCCGTCTTTGCCCAGAGCAGGGGCTGCATGGGGGCCCGTGGGAGAGTCTGCCTTCCAGTGAGGCCAGAACGAGGCCAGCCTGAGAGCTGCTCACGGGCCCATGTTCCTGCTCCTCTGCCCCAGAATTGCCTTAGGTTAGAAAATTACACAAAGGTCAAAGAGCAGTGGTGGTGAGTTCCTAAAGAATCCCACAGGACAGTTGCAGAGTTCAAAGGGGGCTCTGTGGGTGGTGAGACTGGGAAATCCTGAGTTACATGCAGGGTGGCAGTCTTTTCAGCCTGTGTCTCAGGGCACTGAAAACACAAGTGTGTGTAGAGGACTTCCAAGAAGAGGATGTCAGATTCACACATTCCCAAACTTCATGACCACTGGTGCGTCTCTCAGAACTAACAATCTGGGGACTGGCTCAGGGAAATCATTTTTTAGGGGCCACTTTTTTCACTTCCCAAGGTCTGTAAGCAATGAAGTCATTCACTGGAGGAAAAGATGACTCTGATTTCCCCCAGGGAGAGGCTGGGGTGGTTTCTGCTCACCGACCCCCAGCCTGTGGTCAAAGCCGAGATAGGAGAAAGCACAGGAGTTTGTCTTATTGGGCACAATCCCACATCAGGTAAAATGTCCACTCTCATGCACAGCGTCCAGGCAGGGTCTGAAGTCGTGAATCCTCAGGAATCCCCAAACCCACTAGACTCTATTATAGCTACCACACACTCGCAACTTGATTATGGATCCAGAAATTTGTCTGCCTGGGGTGTATGAACTTGGCGTCATTATTTTGGAATTACAGTTACTCATCCCTAAAGAATTCCTTGGCCCAACTAGTCACTGGAAATAGTTATTTTAGGGTCCCACCAAGGGTAACAGTGACTGCTCATGACAGAGCATGGCCCTACAGTGTGTCAGGGTTCAGGAGTATGGGGGTCACAGGGATGGAAGGAGGAACACCATCCTGAGCACTGTGTATCCCTGGACTCTCTCAGGATCGGGCTCTGAGGGACAGAATTGGCTCAGAGTGTCACCGTGCTGCCCCATCCCACCAGGACTATTTCCCCTCCCAGGGCTTGGCCTGGCCCCCTTTGCAGCACTCAACAACCCATCAGTCTGTGTTGAAGTCTTCCTCAGAAAGAGTCTGGTGTAGCTGGTCGGCCAAGTGACACCAAGGCCCACCTGAATGATAAGGGTTCCTGCCCGGGGGAAGAGAGAATGGGGACCAAGCTCTACTGGGAACACTTCAGAGGGAAATCAGAGGCAGGAAAGGCAACACCTTTCCAGATCCTCCTGCAACAACAGCCTGCAGACATCCAGGTATCAAAGCGAGAATGGGGGTGGGGTGGTGTGGGGAGGGGTTTGGGCCTTGGCACTTGGCACAAAGTCCCTTGTCACCCAACTTCATATCCTTCTGCTGGAGCCACTAGATGCCACTGTTGATCCAGGCTCCAGCCAGAGAGGGCCCTCCCTCCCTGCAGACACTGTTAGTGAAAAGAAAGACTATCCTCCCATTTAGAAGACCACCTACCTTTAGTCCCTGGTCGGCCTGGAGTACCAGGAAGTCCTGATGTGATTTGGAAAAAATCAGTCAGAATGGTGAAGGCTCAGCAATTCCACACCCCTTAGGTGGCAACCTGTGCTCTGTCACTCAGCCCAGCTACAGCCACCCTGAGACCTACCTGCTCTGCCTTGGCCCAGGCTAACCCTGGGAGCCTCTTGCTTTGAGTCCTTGCTCCTCTCTGGGAAATGGACCCATGGGATCAGCTCTAGGGGGGTTTCAGGGTTTTATGCCCCTTGGGGCCTACAGAGCAAGGCCTGGCTTCCTGTGTCCTGTGCAGCCCCACCTTCTTGCTTTGACAGCATCTGAAGGAGGCTACTGTATGGTCATCTGCTGAGGGCATGCAGATTGGTTTCATCTTAAATCGTTGCCTAATTTCCTTCAGGAAATGAGGGGCTGAGGGGGTAATGACCATTTCTTAAATCCAAATGCTTGCACACTGGTCCAACTAGGACAGGCTTTAACATGGAGCTGTTCCAGAGAAATTGAGCCCTCCCGAAATGGGGGTGAGTGTCCACGCCCTGTCACACCAGCAGGGAACACAGGCCTCTGTGGGTATAATGGAGAACCAGCCAGCCAGTGGGCTCGGGGCCTCCACTTGGGATTCTTACACCAGAGGGGAGCAGGACACAGGCAGACAGAATCAGCACACACCTACCCTCTTTCTACTAGAACAGTAGAAATGCTCTGTGCCTACTTTTCCTTCCTGAGGTGCCTCTCAAGACTCACAGAGAAAGGGCGTGTTTGCCAGGGAGTTGGGGAGAAGACATTCCTGAGTGACCTCAGGAAAGCACTGGCCAAAAGACATGCCAGGAGGAAGAGGGCCGTATGGCAAGGAGGAGTGACCCAGTGACTCACCCTGAGGTCCCTGGGGTCCCGTGAGACCTGCAGAAAATCAGACACAAGAAAGAAGAGTTGAGGGGCTGAGGGCTGTCCCTGGGGAACCACACCCTCCCCTGCCTCACTCAGGGCAGTGGGTCTCCAGGCCCCTGTCAGCTTGAGGTGGACAGCAGCTCTTGGGCATTGCAGGGAAGCAAACCACCACTCCATGGGGCAGTGGTTCTGAGCCTATTGGTTCACAGACCTTTTCAGAGTCTGAGGAGAGCCCAGAACCTAGGGCGTGCACACTCAGAGCTCCCACTGGGCACCAGCCAAGGAGGCAGAGGCCACCTTGCTCTCAGAGGCCCCAGTGAGGCCTGCTGTGACCGCACACTCTCTTGGCTGGCTTTGATGTGTTCTTCCTTCAGCCCTGTGAAACCTGGCCTGTCTGCTCTACATGGGGACTCTAACTGTAGTTCTCTCCTTGGGGTGGTGGGCGCTGGGGAGGGTCCAGATGCAGCCCCAGAGAGGAGAACTGAAGGGGCAGGGGCCAAAGTAGCAAGATACTGAGGTTATATTCAAGCCCGAAATTTTGCAAGAGCCCTTGCCCCTTTCTAGAACTCCTTGTTTTCCGTGATTAATCTTTCTCTTGTAAACTGCCAGACTTGGTGATTCAGAGGTACCAGGGCCCACAGCCACTGGCACAGCACAACTTAGCAGTGCGGCCACTCCCTGCTGAGTCACCAGAGGGAAGGAGGTGAGGGCCGAGTGGGGTGCACACAACCATGAACACGCACACCCCACGCCTACAAAGCTGTGCACACACGGGCACATGCACCATGCAGGGGTAGCTCCCACTTCTCACGCTGTTACCTGGCTTTCCTGGGTCTCCAGATGGTCCCGGTGGGCCACGGATTCCAGGCATCCCAGTGAGACCTTGTTCACCTGGAGAGAGCACAACCAACACAGACATGTTTTCTTTTAGGAAAGCTGAACTGGCCTGCACACCTGGGCTGATGGCTTTCCTGACTGACTTGCTGGCAGGTGGAGAGGAGGATGGGACAAACTGGACACTGGTCCTCTGGCACTGTGGCCGAGAGAACGAGGACTGCACACTGGGACACAGGCAGGGCAGGGAGTGGAGGCAGGGCGGGCAGTGGGGCTGAGGACAGCAGGGAAATGACCAACCTCTTGGGCCTTGGTGTCCATCAGGGCCTGCAGGACCTGGTAAAGCAGAAGCAAAGTCCATCAGTGGCTCCTGGACCTACTTCTGTGCCTCCTCCCTCTCCTGCCCCAGCAGCTTCAAAGCACATTGTTTCCCTGCAGCCACCGGCCTTGGGAGAAGCCCTGTCTTTGCCATGGCCTCTAGATCCAGCATTCTTCCGGCCTCCTTCTCCTACAGCAGTGACTGTCTTCCTGCTGAGGATTTCTCAGCAACTCCCCACCAATGGCAGGAGCCGAGATGCCCAATGCTTGGCATGTTTACTTGGGTGGTGGAAGTCAAGGTCTTCCAGCTTCTTGTCTCCTCTGCTCCAGGCACTAATCTAACCTCTGTCCAAAGTGGTGTCCTTTGGGGACCGTGTCTACTCTTTCCCTTCTCAGCCATGTTGTGCCTGCATGGAATTTTCCAAACTGGCTGTGATTAAAATCTTCTTAACTTTTTAGGACCATCTGAAATGCCACCTCTGTCCTACTTCAAAGAAATCTCTCTTTCAACGATACCCTCACTGTGTACCTTTCAGAGCACTTGTCACCTCCTGCAAATCCTCACTTGCCCAGCACAGTGTCCTGCTTGAGACCAGCACTCACTAAACATTTGGTCAAACAGATCAGCATGATCAGAGTGGGGGTGGAGGGGAGATTAAATTGAGCTCCTGGCTCGGCGCCTATAGCTCAACCGGCTAAGGCGCCAGCCACGTACACCTAAGGTGGCGGGTTCGAATCCCCAGCCCGGACCCGCCAAACAACAATGACGGCTGCAACCAAAAAATAGCCGGGCGCTGTGGTGGGCGCCTGTGGTCCCAGCTACTTGGGAGGCGGAGGCAAGAGACTCGCTTGAGCCCAGGAGTTGGAGGTTGCTGTGAGCTGTAATGCCACGGCACTCTACCCAGGGGGACAGCTTGAGGCTCTGTCTCAAAAAAAAAAAAAAAAAATTGAGCTCCTGGCCCTTTGAGGGTTTGCTCAGCTTCCAGCCAGGCTGACAGGCACCTCAGGAAGCATCAGCAAAGGAGTCAAAACCTGGATCTGGCTGTGAGACTTGCCCTGGGATGCCTGGAATACCTAGGGTTCCAAGGGAACGCAGTACTAACTGCCCCTCCACCCCGACCAGGGGAGGTCACAGGAGGGCTCCAGAGTGAATGGGCTGTGCCCTGCCAAGTCCTTAAGTCCCTCTCAGAGTGTGAGAAATCCACCAAGGCACCTGTAGCTCTCTTAGCCTCAGGAGGGCTGCCCCAACCTGGAAATGGCCTGTAAAGGGAGACTCCACCAGGGCTGGGCAGCTCAGAGAGCAGGAGAACTGGGTCTAGGAGGATCTCTGCACGGCCGCAAAGACCTAGCATACCTGTTCCTGTGGGATACTCACCCATTGCTCCTTTAGCTCCGGGCTCTCCCACAGCACCAGGCAGACCTCTCATACCGGGCTCTCCTGCAAAGACAAAGGACTAGCTGGTTGGACTTGCCAGATACACGTGCTTCAACATGGTGGCCTATCCCACTCCTCCCTGTCCCCCTCCAAGTGTCCCCCACCAAGCCCTGCCCCTCCCCAGCTAGAAGAGGTTAGGGAGGCAGCTTCGACTTGTATTCCATGGTCAGGGAATCCCTGGGCAGTGGGCATGGGTAACCCAGAAACCATGCCTGATCACCCAGAAACCATCGCCAGAAACCATGCCTGATCTGAAAGGGCATGTGTATGATTTTTTATTTCCTTGGAAACAAAAAGCTACCCCTTGTAGTCAAAGCCTTATTATTACCAATTTCTTTTTTTGATCACGCAAGTTGGTAGGTCAGTGGCTGAGAGGATACAAGGGGTACAAACTTTCTGCCATGGGGGGAAGAGATTGAATTTTCTAACTAGATTCCCCACAATAATCACAGACACCCCTAAACTCCCTTTCACGCCATTTACTGTTTGGACTATACATTTGGAAACTTCTAGGTCTTTATTTTATCTTGTCCTTTTTCGGGGGGCATAAGTTCCCTAATGGTTTTTAGACTTAGATTCTGAATTCTTTTCCCACCTCCAGTGAAAGATGGATTTAAAGAGGCATGAGCGGATTAAAGTAGATTCCTGTGAAGGACTGACCTGTGAGGCCTCGGGGTCCTTTCTCTCCCTGGTCACCTAAAACACGGGGGCGGGTAGGAAAAAAAAACAGCTGTGGGCAAGGAAGACAGCCTCATCCAGTAACGAGCCCCTTACAGCTCTCACATGTCTGTAAGCCCCAGACTGTGTCAGCACAGTGTTGGCAAGAAGGTGACATTAACGCAGCTGAGGACTGTGTTCCATCTTCTGCAGGGTCATGTCCCCACCACACACTGACCCTGGCCTGGCTGCTGCACAAATGCATGCCATGGGCACAGAAGAGTCCAGACTAGAGGACAGACACCTTGGATCCCCACCTCCCTGAGGACCATCCAACCACAGCACTGTGACATCAGCACTTGTTTCTCCTCTGTGCCGTTTACATTCCTTGAGAGACTGAATTAGAACAAGCTCTTAGGTCTCTCCCAGAGTCCCTCTGGCTCTTAGCCAGAGCCCTGTGTGTCCTTGGACCTTGTGGCCAAGGGCCCATCTAGACTCCGAGGAGTGAGGTAGACCATGGTGATGACTAAGCAGCAGTGAGCCTCATACCTTTGGGTCCTGGTGGTCCCATTGGTCCTTTGTCACCTGAAAAGGAAGTGAACACTTTGACATAAAGACCTGTATAGGGGATGACCAGAAAGGACCAATGTCTATCTCTGGAGATAGGCTCCCCCATCCTCACCTCACCTTCCCCTCCTACACCTGTCTGCCTGCATAGGCTGTGGGGTGTGTGGGTTACGTCCATCAAACCATCCCTGTGCCCCCAGACCTGCTCCCCCTGCTCACCTTTGATACCAGGGGGTCCCACTTCACCTCGGAGCCCTTGGAGACCTACAGAACCTGCCCAGCAGAAGAAACCATGAAGGAGGATTAGTGTCCCCCACCTTGGAAGGGATGGACACACACACACACATACACACATGCACAAATACACACACATGTACACGCATGTACACACACACACAGGCATACATCCCTGGAGTAAAGTCAAGGGCTGCTTCCTACAGATCCTCCCCAAGTCCCTGCTGAACCATACTGGCCCAGCCCCTGCCAAGCACTAGAACAGCAGTGCAATGCGGCAGAGGCCTGGCTGCAGCCCAGGTTCCTCAAGACAGCAGGACAAGCTTTGTGTCCGTGGGGGACAGAGGCAGATACTGGTTGAGATAAAGGCAGGAAGGGACTTCCTATTGCTGAAGCTGCTGGAGGGTCTCAGGGCCTAAGCCAGGTCAGAATGGATCTGAGCAGGACCCATCAATCTCAGCCACAAGGGACACACATGCGCAGACTTGGGTTTTGTGTTCCCAGGAAGCTGTCTTAATCATTGCTTCTTTTACTTTAAAATGCTTGGTTTTCCTTGTCACAGCCCTTCCTTTGTCCCAGAAATAGCACCTATTTACAAGCAGCAGCACACTGACCTGGGGGACCCTGGGGGCCAGGAGAGCCACTGGAACCTGAGAAGGAAGACAAGGTAGTCATCAGCAGAGGGGCAGGTACAGGCCAGGACATCTGGCCCCTGGGGAAGGCCAAGTGGCAGTGAGGCTACTGTGTGTGCACACTGCTCACATAGCGTGGGTTCATGCCAGGACCCCAAGTCAGCACTCACTTTCAAGTGACCCCAGGGCAGTGTTACCCTTAAGGAAGGCTACAGCTGGGTGGGATCTTGCTCACCCCCTTGCTCCTTCCTGGTCAGAGTAAGACATTTGGGCTGGGGCAGAGGTCAGGAGGAGAGGTGGGCAGACGGGCATTAAACTATGAGAAGAGGCCCACTCTCCCTGGGTTGTCCAGACATGTGGCTTTTAGTATGTGCAGCTGGGAAATTATCTGACTTCTGATTTTCTGAATAGTCTCCTGAGGGATCACATTATGGGGCCATTGAAGAGAAATGGAAACATGGCCCAAGCACATTTAAAATTAAAGCCCCATTTAGGAACCCCCCAGACAACTTTGTGGGGTGATGCTCTCTGGGCCCACCGCCCCTGCACAGGCCTAGGTAATGCAATAGGGCCACTTGGGATCACCCCTGGGCATGGTCCCTCCCTGGCAAACTTGGGTACAGTTCCAGGTACTCTACTTACCTTTGGGACCCACAGAACCTGGGACACCAGGTGGGCCCTGAGGACCTGGCTCTCCAGAATCTCCTGAGGAGGAAAGGAAAAATAGGCACATTAAGAGAAGCCCCCAGAGGGACTGCCTGCCCTGCTGGTGGTCTCTGATCCTCTGGGTGTCTCTATGAGGCCAGCAGCAAACTCCTTCAGTTTCTACCCCTAAAGCCTTTATATTCCATGAAGTCTGGCACCTAGTAGGACTCAGTAAATATATATTGCCTAGATGAGAAAGTGAAACTTAAAATAAAGCTTCTTGCTCAGAGTCTTTTAGCACTGAGAGGGTCTGGTGTCTTCCTGGTTCCCCCTGACAGAGGCACCTTCCCAGCCCCCTCCAGTGCTGGGCAGCATCTGGGGCTTTCTCTAACTCCCTCCCTGCCTTGCTCCAGCCAGGAGAGGCTTGAAGGCTTCCACCCTAGCCCACCTCCACATGAAACCCTGCCCTATCCTCTGCTTCCTGTCCTGACCGACTCCTCACTCCTTATGGGAAGGCCATTTGTCCCATGATGTCAGAGTACTGCAGATGGTCCTCAGCCCCAGGCCTGAGCCCACAGCCCTCCCACACCCCAGCATTAGACTACTATCTTTAGGGCCCAGCACAGACCCTGGCTGAGGGCAGGTGCTCAGTAAGGCTCCTGAAGGTAGGAGAGAGAGAGGAAGATGGAAAGAAGGAGGGGTGGGCATGGCAAAGGAATCACTGCTCACCTCTCTCTCCTTTCTCTCCAAACCCAGGAGGTCCTGGTTCACCACGAGGTCCCATGGGGCCTTCTCGCCCTCTCTGACCCATGGGTCCTTCCATGCCGGGATCTCCTAGCAACAGGAATGGCCAAGCTTAAAGTTAGGATCCCATGCCACAGCCAAGAGCACCACAGGCAGCCTCCACAGCAGAGCGCTCATCTGAAGCCTCTTCCCTGCCTCCCTGCTTCTTCCCTGGCCTTCACAGCCTTACCTCAACCCAGACTCTGGAGTGACCCTTTGAAAATGCAAGTAGGTCATGTTCCACCCCTGCCCTGAACCTACAGATGGCTTTGCCACTCACTGGGAATGGTGATGCCCACATCAGCCTCCCCTGGCCCCACCTCCCATAACTGCTCCCCCTCCTGCTCCTTGAACTGGTCCTTGAGGCCTGGCCTGGCTTATCCCTCTGCCTGGAATGTTCCCCTAGATCCCTTCAGGCCTGGCTTCCTCTCTCCCTTCCAGACTTCTCTAATAATAAAAAAAAAAAGGCAGCTCCTCAGGCAGGCTCTCCCTGACCTCCCTGTTTAAAATGAGCCCTTCAGCGCTCACTTTCAACAGCCCTGCAGGTGCAGGCTCTGTGGTCATGCATCACCTCCTAACCTGCCATAGACTTCACTAATCTATCACTTTTACTGTCTTGCTCCTCCATCCCCCCACCCCTGCCTGGGCATCAGCTACATGAAAGCAGGGGTTCTCTGTTTTGTTCACTGATGTCTCCCCAGCACCTAAGAGAGTACCTGGCTTAATAGATATTTACTGATTGAATAAAGGAATGAAGGGATACATAAATGGAAAAAGTAGCTCTTACCCACACTGCCTTTTTGTCCTTTTGGTCCTTCTGGACCTGGGTGGCCCAAGGGCCCAGGGATACCTGTGGATACACAAGACTACTTGAGTCCCATTTTCCTTTGGGAAGCTGACAGCAAGGACTGAGCAGCCCATAATGCCAGCGGCAGAGGTCAGAGGGGAGTACACACCTGGGATCCCAGGGAGCCCTCGATCTCCTGTGGGAACAAAGGCAAAAGAGGGAGTCAGCCAGAGGACTCAGCCCATTCCCTACAGGAGGCACTGGTAGGATTCAGGTTGGTTGCCAAATTCGACAAATAAAAATACAGATGTCTAGGTTTATTTGAATTGCAGATAAATTATATTTTTAGTATAAGTATGCCTTACGAAATATTTAGGAGACATGTATAGTGAGAATTATTTGTTGTTTATCTGCACTTAAGACTTAATAGGGAGTCCTGTGGTTTATCTGACAACTGCAGGTTCAGGGGTCTGGATGGACCAGCATCAGTCCCCATCCCTACCTAGTGTGCTCAGGAGGGGCGTGGCCTGTAGACTGGAGCTGTGTGAAGGAGGGTGGGGGGAGCTGGCCGGGTGACTCAGAGTGTGTGGGGAGTGTGAGGGCAGGGGAATGAAGAGGAATGAGGACCACTACATGGAAGAATCCACTTCCTTCCTGGAGTCTCCTGGGAAGTTCAGGGGAGCTGGGGGGAGGATTCTCAGTATTCTTCTGAGGGCAGAATCACCTCAGGTGATTAAGATCAGACTCCTGGCCCCACCCACATCTGCTGGATCCGAGGGTCTGGGAGTGGGGCCCAGGATCTGCTAGGGATTCTCCTATGCCTGAAGTCTGGTCAAGGAGAACTGCTCTGTGTCCAGCTGGGGGTCAATGGGATTGGAAACCTCTTCCTCCCTGTCTACCCATCTCATGGATTATCCAATCACTTTTCAGAGTGTGAGATGGGTTTTCTGACATTTCTCAATGGCTTGAAAACGTCCACCCTCACTAATATTTAAAGTAAAAAACTTCTTAGTTACATTTACCTTTAGGGCCTTGACTTCCCATGTCACCTGAAACCAAAAAGATATGAAAGCTGTGGGATGGGTACGAACCCAAGGGCCATTGTTTCCTTAGTATTTTAAAACCATTTGACAGTACTGTGAACTGCGGTTCAAGGTGAGGCTCTTTGCTGGGCCTCTCTTAATGCTGCCTTAGGTCCCTTCCCATTCTAAGATCTTCTGACTCGAAACCCATTCTCAACCTCCCAACAGATACTATAAGATCGTTCAGCTCTTCAGCCTTCCATTTGGAAAAAATAAGAAGTTTCTCAACCCATCCAGGACACTTCCCACCCCCACCAGCTGGAAACAAGTGTAGGGAAAGGGCTTGATGCAGAGCTATACCTTTAGGGCCAGGGCTTCCTCGGAGATTTCCTACAAGACAAAGTAAATCCTGAGTTGGTTTCACACTTTCCAGTATCCCTCACGTGCACATAAGAAGGGGATTCGGGGCTCGGCGCCTATAGCTCAACAGGCTAAGGCGCCAGCCACATACACCTAAGGTGGCGGGTTCGAATCCCCAGCCCGGACCCGCCAAACAACAACGACGGCTGCAACCAAAAAAAAATAGCCGGGCGTTGTGGCGGGCGCCTGTGGTCCCAGCTACTTGGGAGGCGGAGGCAGGAGACTCGCTTGAGCCCAGGAGTTGGTGGTTGCTGTGAGCTGTAATGCCATGGCACTCTACCCAGGGGGGACAGCTTGAGGCTCTGTCTCAAAAAAAAAAAAAAAAGAAGGGGATTCGGGTAAGGCGCTGGCGGGTGGAGGAGGGAAGAGGGAGGGGCGTGGAGTGGCGGGGACCACAGGCAGAGACCAGGAATCAGACTGGGCTAGTCCAGTGATCCTGGACAACTCTCTTCCCCAGAACTCAGTTTTTCGAGCAGTCAAATGGTACCACAGCACTGGTCCTACGTAACTCTCCAGGGCTATCGAAAGGGTGGGAGGAGGAGAGAGGCCAGGAGCGGGCGGAACACGGAACGGGGCCCCCGGCCTATGCTCAGGGGAGCAAGAGGCTGGGGCGAGCCGGCCCTCGCCCAGATGCTCTCACCGTTCTCCTGCTCCGCCATGAGCTTGTTCCGCACGAACAGCCAGAGCGCCTCCTGGCTGTAGGCGTCCGGCCCGGCTTTGCCCAGGAGCCCGGGGTCGGGCGCCGCCGCCTGCAGGCGGTCCTTGCTGCTGCGCTCCATCTTCTCCTCGAAGGACAGCGCGCCGCCTCGGGCCCGCTCCAGGTCCTCCACGCGGGCCTTCAGCCTCCGCACCTCGTCCGCTGGCAGGGGACACAGGCAGCGTCAGCGGGCGGCGCAGGGCGGGTTTGGGGGATTCTCATGCGGAGACAATCTCTGTGGCCCCCAGCAGGATGGAAGGGGTCCTGTGCTTTCCGCCGGTGGCGGAACTCGTTCTCACTTTGCCTGGGAGGTGGCATGGGCACCGCGGGGAGACAGAGTTTGGGCCAGCCCCGGCTTTGGTATCCCAGCTGGGCTGCCTCAGTTTCCCCCTCCGCGGTAATGGGGCATCGCGCCATCCCACGTACCCAGAGCGATGAGGCCGAAGAGCAGCCCCAGCAGCAGCAGCCAGGTGAGCAGCAGGCCCAGCAGCCACTTCCACCAGCTGCAGCAGGAGCCGCAGGGGCACCAAGTAGGTGCCGCCCACGGGCCCCCACCTACGGCGCCACCACCACCTCCGCCGCCATGGTGGCCGTAACCGTGAATTTCTGCGGGAGAGACGGAGCGTGAGGCAGGTTGCAGGCTGCTCCTGCTATTCTGTAAGCTGCCTGCCTGGAGGTGTCTTCACGTGGGCCCAGGTGACTGAGTGGGGGCTTCCTGTGCAGCTCGGGGGCATGGCTGGGTCACGACAGAAGTTTGTGTGACCCCTACAGGTCACTTCACCTTTCCTCTTTCATAAATGGGGTTAAAGATCACCTACTTCCTACGGTGGTTGGTGACTGAGAGAAGGCACATAAAGTTGCTAGCAGAGGACGTGGCTCAGAGCAGGGCTTAAGCGGCTTCTTTAGGAAGACTACACTGACCTTTGCCCCTGCCTCTGATGAGGTGCAGACCCAAAGCTCCCCATCTCCAGCCTCGGTTCACACAGCTCACCCTTTGTAATCCCTATGGTGCCTAGAATTACACTCAGCACTTCAGAGGTGCCCAGAAAACTTTATTATAAATTTTTTTAATGAAAAGAATTTTTTATTCCCTGAGAGTTGACCTGCTTTTGTGTTGCTCCTGCCCTGTTGGGGGCCTAAGAGCTACAGTGGGTGCTGATTAGGGGGGGGGCAGGGCCTGTGAAACACCATCCCTGAGCCAGGTCCCTTCTACCACCACTTTTAGCCCACACCCTGCTCTCCCCATTCTCTGAGACTTTAGGGAAATTCTCTAGAGTTGGGTGGCTCCTTGTGTACACTGGTCCCAGGGACACAGGGGCCCTCCTCTGGTCCATTAACCATAAGCAGCCCTATGGGATGCTGTTAATGCAGGGTCCACCATTCTCACCCACCTGTAGAGGTGTCCTTGCCTTTGGTGGACACGGTCTTCAGGTCTCCTGAAAGACACACACAAAGAATGTAGGTTTTGACCTGAGCTTTTAAACTGGACGAGCCCACAAGACCACCCCTCAGATTGATTTTGGTAGCGCTTTAGGTAAAGATGCTCCCCAAGTACCTGGCAGAACAAGTCACCCTGACCCACCATTTACAATAATTACATTGATGAAGACCTGGCTTAGCAAACAATTAATGGTGGAAGAAAGCACAGTGTTTAACCCCCCTGTGGCCTTAAACCTTTAAATCCCAAAACATTTTTGGAAGACCACATTAGGGGTGCCATTCACATTCAAACAATAAATGTGCTCATGAGAAATGACTCCAGTTTCTTGGTTAAGGGACTCTGAACACAGGCTCCTAACCTGGGGTGGAGGGGAGTGGGAATGGCAAGAATGGACTTGGAGTGGGGTCCAGGAGTTCATGAGTCCCTGAGGCTACATGAAAATGGAGTATTTGTGGGCATGTGTGGGATTTTCTGGGAAAATTGTCCGTAGCTTTCATTGGATTCTAAAAATGGTCTTTAGACTCCACAGCCCCACCTCCACTGTAAAAATGTAAGGAACTGCTAACTTTGAAGACTTAGAGTCTGGTTGCAGCCTCCCACTTTGTCAGGATGGTAACTGGTTGAATTTGCATTTATTTAAAATCATTCTGGGACTTAATTTTCCCTATACTTGACTGGCCTTTCTGAAATCAATGATTTGAAGACAGTCTAGTCTATAGCACCTTGGGAAGAAATGTAGTTATCCAAGAAAGTATCCAGATATTTGGGAAGGAAAAAAAAAGGAAGTTAACAAGCTTTGCGAAGCATGTTTTTATTAGTTCTGAAAATTATGGGAGAACTAATAAGACAAGAAAAAAATAGGTTTGTAGACATGCCAGAGGAAGGCTTTGCTTGGATAGCATGTGCACAGGAATCCTGTGGCTTCTGACACAGCAGGTCTGAGCTGGAGCCTGGGATGCTGCATTTCTAACACACACCAGGTACTGCCTATGCCGCTGGTCCACCCACCACATTCTGAGTAGCAAGGTCTCAGGAGACAAGGAAATGAAATGTGGCTTGGCTGAAGTCAAGAGTAACATCCATCATATTTGTTCTCACCATTAGCTTCAGCTTTTAGGTGGGAGTCAGCATTGTAGGCAGCTTGCTTTTCTTTTTTGAGGGTGTCTTCTGAAAAAGAAGCTGTGCACAGAACCCATTATAATCTGATTTATCCTCTCTCCAACTATCTTTCTCCCTCTCCCACCTCCCAAGGTCAAGGTCAGCAGAGGGTGGAGCTTTCCTGGGGTTAATTTCCCCTGATCTGTGTTTGTAGTTAGACTTGCTGCTGCCCAAAAGACCCCTCTGGGAACTCTTCCCTGCATTTTTCTGGCTCATCTGCATTCAAGGCAGACCTTTCAACATCCTATTCAGGTAGTCATTTTTCATTAGAATGGGATGGCTGTGGTTTTGTGATTAAATGTCTCAAACCAGCTTGCTAGGACATTTGGTCTCCTACACTATTTGCTTTCTTTCTGAAACTGGAGTCACAAGGGCTCTGACGTACTTGCAGCGATGCTGGCAGGGGAGGCCGTGAAGACCTTCCCACTGTCCTTGCTCATGATCAGCAGCTCCATCTCCTTCTTGGCAGGCATATTGTCCTTCTCCAAGATCAGGAACTTACAGTCCTTGTGCAAGAAGTCATCACTCTGGACACTTGTGCTGCAGGCTGGGGAGGAAAAGAGTGGGTGAGGGGGAAGGAAAAGGTGTCGGGTGGGAAAATATGACTAGAAGAGGAAGGAGAAGAGAGAGGAGGAGGAAGGGGAAAGGGAGAATTGCAGGTACAACCCCGTGGATCTCCTGTTCTCCCTGATGGTGGTTCTTATGAAGCATCCTGGAGATCTAGGACACCCTCCCTGCCTGGTGGGGCCTGGCTGGGCCTGGCCTCTCAGAGGTTGGGTCATTGTCACCCTCCCTGGGTGGCTGGGCCTAGGGCTATCTCCCTATCTGGAGATTATAAGTCTTTATGGAGTGGGGAAAAGTCCCCCTTGTTGGGCAGGTCCTTCTAGAACTAACTGCTTTGGTGGGTTAATTTCTATCCTTCAGGTCTCAGGTCACCTTCTTCATCTGCACTGACAAACAGAGACAAAGGATAAAGATAATTACAAGAAATGACAGAATGTTTAAGAAAAGCAGTAAATGAGGTGCTGGAGATGGGAATGTGTATACAGTTTGGGGTGCTTTCTCATTGGGGATCAGGAAAAGCCTTCCAAGAAGGTAACCCATGGGTCCTGTTCCCTCTTCTTCTTCTTTTTTTTTTTTTTTGAGGTAGAGTCTCAAGCTGTCACCCTGGGTAGAGTGCTGTGGCGTCACAGTTCACAGCAACCTCAAACTCTTGGGCTTAAGCAATTCTCTTTCCTCAGCCTCCCAACTAGCTGGGACTGCAGGCACCTGCCACAATGCCCTGGTATTTTTTGTTGCAGTTGTCCTTGTTATTTTAGCTGACTGGGGCCGGGCTCAAACCTGCCAGCCTCGGTGCATGTGGCTGGCGCTGTAACCAATGAGCTACAGACGCCGAGCCCTGTTCCCTCTTCTAATATACGGGGTGTCATGGCAGAGTAATTCTCCCCACAGTGGGGAGTGGCACTCACCAGCAGAGGTGGACATGCCAGCGTTGTTGGAGGTGTTCGAGGCAGCAGGGCTCTGGGGCATGTTTTTTTTCACACCATAGGTAGCTGCTGTGACAAAGGAAGCAGTGAGGGGCTGGGCCAGCACGGGAGGGGCCCTGCAGCTCAGGAAGACCAGCCCGGGCAGAGAGAAGTGGAACAGAGGGTTTAGATGGAATGTTCTTGGGCATAATCCTCCTTATCCTTTTAGGATGCCAAGGCCACCTCCAGGAAGTCCTCCTAGGCTCTCACACCAACCCTTCCCTTCTGAATCCCTATAGCCCTTAATTCTGCTTTGTACTACACAATATACCACTTACTCCCTGGGGTTTTACAGCCTCCCCAATCCTACTGTCTCAGGTATATCAGACTTTCTACTCCAACTAAACAGTAGGCAAGTTGAGGGCAAAGGCTGAGACTTGGGTCTCTACCTCCCCCGCCTTCCCAGGTTTGCATAGAGGCTGTGACCTGAGGGGAGGGCGCACTGTAAAACCAAACAGTTGATTGATTTGCAGTGACAGTGGCTGGCAAGGACAGTAGTAGGGAGCTGGTAAGACCACCAAGCTGACCAGTTCCACTCTGAGAGACACAGGGACACACAGGTGCCACCTCCCAAGGTGCAGATGCTGTTCACAGTACAGCTTCCCTGTGTGTCTGACTCGTGTTCTGAGCCAGCAAATAATCAAAGTTGGCATCTCTAAGGGGGAGTAGGAGGTGCTATTTCTTTGGTGGAAAGGGTTGATTGGTTTTCAGGGGTATTTTAGTCCTTCTAATTCAGTTGCTGAAAAAGGATATATATTGTCAGCTGTAGCTGTAAAGAGATGTCTCTTCCCAGCCCCTAGGCTACCAACCTGTGGACATGGTGGCTGTGCCATGGGACAGGGCAGATGAGCTGGGGGCCAGATTGTTCTGCATGCCAAATACTGTGAAAGCAATCGGGGATAGTGAGCATGGGTTGCACAAAGACTGTCCCTTGGCTTAAAGCAGACCTTGGAATCCCTAAACCATGATAAAGGCCCTCACAGATGACAGAGATTCCCCAATTTCCTCTGTTCCCACACTCTTAGTGACATAGTAATTTTTTTAATGCCCCTACCTTTCTACCTCAGACTAACATTTATTAACAGATCCACACAATTTAAAAGAAATAGTTCATACAGAGTCTGACAGATGTGGCCATCTCTCTCAAAGTTTAAAAATATCCCAGGCTCCCAGTTCCAGGTGGCACCTGGGGGCACTGTGGGCTTTGGATAGGGACGCAAGGGGGCTGAGAGTCATTACCTTGGCTGACTCCTAGTTTTCCTTTACCCTTACTTCTTGGACTCAAACACATAAAACTCCCCTCACCTCCACCATGATTTTTTTCTTTTTTTTGAGACAGAGTCTCATTTTGTTGCCCTCAGTAGAGTGCCATGGTGTCTCAGCTCACAGCAACCTCAAACTCCTGGGCTCAAGTGTTCTTCTTGCATCAACTTTCCAAGTAGCAGGAACTACAGGCAACCACCATAACGCCCAGCTAGTTTTTTAGAGACAGGGTGTAGCTCTTGCTCAGGCTGGTCTCAAACTCCTGAGCTCAAGCAATCTACCCGCCTCAGCCTCCCAAAGTGTTAGGATTACAGGCGTGAGCCACCATGTCCGGCATCCACCATGATTTTGAAGGCTCTTTGTATATATGATTGCTTGCTTGTCTTTAACAATATACAGAAGTTCGTTCCTCCCTAGTCAGTAGCTTCTATTATTTCATCCTGTCTAGAGTCTGGGGACTAGATCATAGGTCTAGTGTCAGCCCACCTTCCCTCGGAGCCTGGTCAGTCAGGACATCGCAAAGCAAAATAGCAAAGATGGAAGAAATAAAAGCATGAAGCCAACATCTTTTGGGTTTTGTGGGATTCTAGTCGTCTAGAGGTAGGTGTGGAAAATCTGAATGCTAACTTTGCATTTGAAGCTATATCAGCTGGGAAAATAAAGAAGGCCCACATCATTGTGATTATATAGCTCAGGGAGAAGACAGATTCCTTAAAAAAAGAAAGATGTGGGCTGGCAACTTATTTACATATAGGCTCTTTTTTTTTTTTTTTTTTTGAGACAGAGCCTCAAGCTGTCCCCCTGGGCAGAGTGCTATGGCATTACAGCTCACAGCAACCTCCAACTCCTGGGCTCAAGCGAGTCTCCTGCCTCCGCCTCCCAAGTAGCTGGGACCACAGGCGCCCGCCACAACGCCCGGCTATTTTTTGGTTGCAGCCATCATCGTTGTTTGGCGGGTCCGGGCTGGGGATTCGAACCCGACACCTTAGGTGTACGTGGCTGGCGCCTTAGCCGGTTGAGCTATAGGCGCCGAGCCCATATAGGCTCTTATGACATACATAGAATCATAGTGAATAGCTACTTCATGTGTTTGCGTTGGAAGATAAGTAACACTATTTACCCTAGTGTAGTTACCCCAATACCATGTTTATAAAAATATCTGAAAGAACTTGTTCATAAAACAATGAACTTGTTTATAAATAGATCTGAAATAAGATCCTTTTAAGGTAACAATGCTTTTCACCCTGAAAATGTCCCAAAGGATGACTCATTTAACCCCTTTAATTCCATTGCTCCAATGTTCCCAGAAAATGGGGCACCAGCATGAATGTACACATCAGTGTGGGGCTCAGGTCCCCTTGTCTTACAACTTTCCCCTGGGAACTGAGTTAGAGCTCCCTCTGTTTGAGGATGGCCTTTGTGTCTTCTGCCTTCCAAAGGCAGCCCTGTGGCCTCTGTTGCTGGGCTGCAGTGTTCATGGAGGAAAGTCCTTTGTGCTCTTGGACAGAAAGGATGTCTCCTCCAGAAACCATTCCATTTTCCTCACCCGGAGAGACCATCCTGATATTTTCAAGCAAACAGCTAGAAAAGGTGACACAAGACGGTGACACTGACCTGAAGAGCTGGTGCTGAGTCCAGGGTGCAGGGTGGGCGAACAGGATGCCATGTTATTGGGAACTCCAAAAACTGCAGGGTAGGGAAGGAGACTGGTGAGAGGGGCGCCCGGCCCAGAGCAGGGGCAGAAAATCAGGTGCTATGGAAGCATGGGAGGCCATGCTAAGATTGGGTTGTAGTCAATTTTTGGTTTTAAGAAAAGCTTAGGCTCTTTCCTTGCAGCAGAGAATGGAACATTAGCCTGTGGTGTGCCTGGGGTCACAGCCAGCGGGTGGTCTCAGATCGGTCAGACCTGGAATGGACCATGGGTCCAGCCAAAGGCTCTCTTATGAGTGACCCCACTTTACAAAGAAGGTCCCTGAAGTTCAGAGAAGTTAAAGGATTTGCTCAAGTGAGTCAGTTCACATGGAGTAAAACTAGATCTGTCCATTTTCAGTGATTTTTTTCTTCTATTTCTCCTGGATACGCTGTGTTATGTATTCCTTTTATAGGGGGTCACCTGGAGAAATACCTCCTAGATTTAGGTGAACTAAAGTTTCAATGGAAGACTCCTGGGATGCTTGCCCACAGAAAGCCTTTCTAGGGAGCCCTGGGATGGCAAGCACCCAAGGCGGTCACCCACTCCAGGGTAAAGGTGAGCTGAGTTTGGGGCAGAGAGGGGCGTGGGCTGCCTGCCACGTACCTGAGCCTGTAGAGTAGGCATTGGTGTTGAGGAGGGACGAGCTCTGGGATGTCATGTTGTTGTGATAGGTCCCCATGGAGGATCCCGCAGGCAGGGTGGAGGACCACACATGGGATGGAAGGTTGGCGTCCAGGATCGTTGTGTCATAGGTACCCAACACTGGGAACAGATGCACATACAGGCCCCAGTGAGAGACATCCTGTCAGCATGACCCTGGCAGGGAAACCTAGTCATCTCAGTTTACTGGGACTTTCCTGGTTTTCACACTGAAAGTCCCACTTCTCATGAACTCTTTGTCAGGGCCATCAGGGACAGCTCTGGCTAGAATCTCAGAACTACAGAAAACTTGATCTCTTGGATTAGAAACGTCTGCTGGATCTTGGTGAAATTAAAAGTGGCTAAACTGTGCCCTGGCGTTCACTCACTTCTCCTTCTAGCTCATCTGCCCACCTCTTGGCCAGCTGTCCCACCAGTGGTGTTCCCCTCAGCCAGGTGCTCACTCCCCCATCTTCAAGGGGGCTGAGAGCAGCTCCCTCAGGAGTACCAAGTGAGACTCCAAAGTAAATCTCTTCCAGTGGAAATCCAGGCACCATGGCAAGTGTTGGGTGCATGCCGAGGGAGGGGAGCCCTTGGGTCTGAGGCCACGCGGCACAGATGGCAGCCTTCTCCTCACCTCAAACAGCCAAACACAAGGAGCACTGTGTCCCAGAGAGGGGATTCTCCTGCTTCCTCAAACCTGATGCCAGTTCTGCCTGTGTATCTTATGAGAGGGAGCTAGCCATGCAGGCCGGGGGGGACCCTGAAGTTATGCTTTCAGAGTGGAAAACAGCAAGGATTTTCTCCAGGAGTGAGTGAGAGGGAAGCTTCCTACCATAGCACACCTGGCTTCCTCCCTCATTGGCTTCCAGGGCTCGGCCAGTCCATCTTCTTGCCTCTTACTTGATATATGGGCACTGAACAGCATTCATCCTACTTGACTGGGAACTCTTGGTTTTCTAACCTCCCCCAAGGGACCCTCAGGTCCACAGAGCACTAACTACGTCTCCCAGACCCATTGCTTTTCCTCAGTGCTTACGCTAGACACAGAGGACACATCTAATAAATATTCATTGAAAAAAAATTCAATATTCAAAAACACAATAACTTTCCCTAATAGTCTTCATTCGGGGAGCCTGGTCAACACATTCACCTGGGAGAGAAACTCTGGGTTTAGGGCTGGATAGTTCTGCCACCCTGCTCCCTGCCCTCCACAGTAGCCTGGGGCCATGGGACTTACCTGACTGGGAACTCACTGTCTCTGTTACTGTTTTGGTCTCCACGGTGCCTTTCTTGGGGATGGGGAGTGTGTTGGAGGAATTCCGAGTGGGGCTCACACTGGCTGATCGACTCCCCTTGAGCAAACGCTTAACATCATCCAATTCTGTCCCTGTGAGAGAATCCAGAGACTTTTGCATTAGGCCAAGGCTTCTTTCCTGAGTTCTTCTGCAGCTGGGGGAACATTTGTGGCCATTCAAAGCATCTGCTTCACACTGGGGCACTTTGATTTAGTCATGTAATGTTTGCATTTTGCCAGTGTATAACACTCGTCAGCCTGGCTCTTTGTCATATTAACAGCTTCATAAATCCAGTGCCTCTCACCAGGAGGTCAAAGTCCTTGAGAGATATGTCCTAATTAGCCCTCATCAGACAACACAGGGATGGTTCTGTGGCTGGAACACAGTACAACCAGGATTAGGCAGTTAGGGAAACAAAAGGTCTGACAGTAGTCTCATTCCTGGTGACACATGCCTAGGATGTTGGGTCCTTGACCTTGTGTGTTCGGGACCATGAAAAGGAACTTGTGGCCCATAACATTATGCTGCCTTCATAGGTGATTTACTTTCGAGTGTGTTGGCTGATCTAACTTGTCACAAGGTGAGCTAGTGGAGCAGGCTCCCTGTGTAACAGAGAGGAGGGAGGCATCGTGCAGGGACAGCGCAGAAGAGGAGATGGACAGATGGGCAGACGACATGTGCTGGAGGAACTCTGGCCTCTCTCTCACCCTCCAAAGCTCCATCCCAGGGGCTTAGCACCCTCGTGCCTGGAAGGACCTGGGAGGAAGTATCAGGCCTGGAGTCAGGTCCCAGGCCCCCTGGCTGAGCTCTCCCAACACGGCCCTGCTCTTTCTCCTATTCCTTGGCTCCTGCAGTAAAAGCTGAGGTCATGTCAAGCTGTTGTCAAATAACCTCTTACAAGAACAATGGGAGTCTAACATCTTCCGTGGACAGGATCTGGGGAGTCTCTGACATTTGAGGTGAAGTTCAGACTCTTATATTCTACTTCTGCCCCTTCTCTAATCATAACTATCCCATCGTGTCCCCTCCTGAACTGTTCCTCAGATGTGGCTCATCCCTCCTCAGGAGACGCCCTTCTGTGCTCCTTTACTGTGCTGAGTGGTGACGGTTGGTTGACTTCATTTTCCTACTGGCAGCAAGGCAGCAACTTAACCCCAGCACCCAGCCCTTCTGACTCACAGAAGGCCCTGAAAGATGTTTTGTGATTGAGTGCACACACATAGCATGTACACACACACACAGAGACAGCATTAGCCCCTGGACTCCTGGATCCTTTCTCTTCAGCAAGGTAGTGACCACTTACACCTGGTGGATGGGGACGCACTCTGCAGCCGCACTCGAATTTCGCTCTCTGTACAAGGAAGAGAGGAAGAAGACTGTGAGTGAAGGAGCTTGGATCACAACCCCCGACACTGAACGCTGAGCTGCTCTGGGATTTCCAAGTCCTGGGAAAAGGAACTCCAGGTGTGCCCACGAAGTGCGCTGCTTAAAAAGGGGTGACCCCTCTCCACACCCCAACCTGCCAACTGCACAGCCCCCAGGCAGATGGAGACATCCCAGTACAATCAGCAGTGACCCACCCCCTTCCCATGTCCATTTCCTAACGGCCAGAACCAAGCTTCTTTCCTGCCTCCATGGTCTCTCAGGCATTGTCAAGAGAACCCTAAAACCCGCAGTGTTTACTTGGCCTCCTCAGAAATGAGAATGGCAAGAAGTTGGTGGCTTAACACTAATAGTTAGCTTCAGGTGAAGAGCAGGCATCTTTCAACTATCAGCCTAAAGTCGTGGGTGGTTGATATACTCCTGAATTTCGAGTTATAATGGCAATGCTCCTAGGTGGTCTAGGTGGTTCACAGGGAACCTGCTGACCTCTGACGGATTCTGTGTGCAGCACAGCCCTGACTCGCTGCCCCTACTACCCCACCCAGAGCTCAGCAAGGGCAGCTCCTCCAGGACCACATTTATCTCCTATATCCTTGTCTAGATGAGGTGATTACAAAACTGTCATGAGGACCTGTGTCCCCAGGAATAATTTGAAAAATAAAAAATGAGAGAGAGGAGTTTGCTCATCTTTTGATATGCAAAGTTAATTAAATCTTGAGAAAGTCAACTACAAGACTAGAAGTGAAACCAGATGTCTCTATCTTGAGATAATACACAGCAGGACACACTATAAGTGACTCCTGCCTCTCCATCCTTGTTAGGTTGCTGTCCAAAGCTACCCTTCCCATCCTGGTAGAGCCAGTGAAAGATTCCCAGGATACTCTAAGCTCCTCCAGGGCAGGAAGCATGCCTTATTTATTCTTTGTACTCCTCACTCCACCTGGCTCAAGGGTGGACATGCATTAGCTACTCAGAAAACATTTGTTGAATGAATTGAACTGAACCCAGTGATAGAGCTCACCTCGTGTTTGGCTCCGCCCTCTCGTTGAAGAAGATGCTGAAAAAGAAATGCAATCTTAGGCAAGTATAGGAGGTGCTGTGCTGAATCCAGGTAGATGTATTGGGGGAGAGGTTGTTTGCACAGTGCATCTAACCTACGTCAGATGCTTTATAAACAATAACCACTTTGTTAAAGGACAGAGAATATTTTGCAATTCCACTCCTTTGGGATGTTTAATTAGCTAAATGAATGTTAAATTAGCTAACACGTAGAGTTATTAAGTTAACTAAGATTTTTGGAAGCATGATCTATTTGGACTGGCTGAACTACATTGATCAAATATGTCAAAAGGCTCCCAAATCTTCCTTTTAATTTGTTTTTAGAAACTCCTTCGGTTTTTCCACTGTAAGCAAGTAAATAAAATTATAATCACTGATAATCAATGATCATGTCATCAATTCATATGCACAGTCTGATTCCAAGACCATGGACCAGAGACTTAAGGCCAAGTGAAGAGACAGCCTAGGGGTTCATTAGGAGTTCACACATGTGCCCCTTTGCAGTGAGCGACCATGCAGGTGCTGGGATGGTTGGCATTTGTGAGTTTTACCCGTAGCTCCTCTTGCTAGGAGGTCTCTGTGCATCTTATGGAAAGCAGAATCCTACAATTATTATTGCTGGGGCTTAGGAGCCTATCTGTCCAAGCCTGAGCCTTGTATGAATAGCTTGCCAGTTCAGTAGTGCCACGAGCAAGAGCTTATGACAGCAGTTAATGTGGCTGACAGTCCCCTGAAGATGTATCAGGATACGAAGCAAGAGAAAAACAAATCAGCAGAGGGCTATCCCCCTCCTTTACAACAATCCATTTAACGCAAGATGTCCCCACCACCTTGTCTCCCCCAGGCATTTCCCTAGTGCCTCCTTTGACCATTTCTTTGGAAAATAAGGAGAGGACATACCGAATTCCTTCCGAGGGTACTCCGGAGAAGAGTTGCCACTGGAGCTCCCTGGAGACGGGATAAGACACTTAGGACAAATGACCACTTAGGCCTGTAAGGCTTCCAAGAGAGAGTAGTGCCCTCTGATGAACCAGGCTTACGATTTAAAACAGGGGTGTCCAAACTTTTCTTTTCTGCCCCATGTTGGAAGAAAAAGAGTTGTCTTGGGCCACATAGTAAATACATAATCACTAATGAAAGCTGATGAGCAGGAAAGGGTTCGTGCATACTTTTTCTGTTACCTGTCTGACACTACGGATAAGCAAAAACAGTGCTCACAAAAATTAGCATGCAGCCCACTGGCTTCAGGTTGGATGCTCCTGATTTGAAACATGACACATCGTGGCCTTGGTTGCACGCTTCACCTTGGTCGTGGGTCGACTATAGACCATGCAAGGTACAAAAGAGAGCAAAAGTTTTCAGTTCTTTCTCTTTCCACTTTCCCAGGCAGGCTTGCCCTGCACCAGAGCTAGAGCAGGCACCTGGCCCTGAGCAGGGATCTCGCCTCCAGCTCCAGGCCTCTCTGACCTTGGAGGCTTGTCCTGTACATGAGCTCCATTAAAATGTAGGTTCACGGCCCCACTCAGAGAGCACAGTGGTGATGCATTGCACCTCGCCTGGGTTTAGGACTTCCCAGCATCTGGCAGGGCAGCTTTGTCCTGCAGCAGCGGTGGTGACTCCAGCTGGCTTTAATCATGCACCAGGGTGTCCCTGGGCTTCATCACCAACCAGTCCCTGTCTCCACTCACCAGTCAACCCCTTCTCTTCCTGGCTTGTTGGTTTCCCACTAAAACCCTTCCTGCTGATAACCAGGGACTCCAGGTCCCTTGGTGGTGGAACCCACGACCCCTTTTTGACCTTGAGCACTTTCTTGTGTTGACTTTGAGAATGACACAGCTCTGGTCTCTGCACCTCTCTCACAGACTCTTCTGTCTCCTTCTTCGCCCACCTTTGTCTTCCTTTGCTTCCTTCTGCTTTTATACTGTCTTCCTGGGCACACTTCCTCAGTCCGGGACGTTTCTAACCTCTCTGTGAATGACTTCCACCTGGGTTTCTGTTCAAGTCCCACCTCCCTCCTGCCTGCCTGCTGCCTGCCTTGCCCCAGGGGACTCATCCAGAGAAGCCCTCACCTGGGGTCAGCTCTTGGCACGACCATGAGCACGCCTTGTGCTTGAACCCTCAGGGGAATTACCACCTCCTTTTCCTTCTCACATTTAATCAGTGGCCAAGCTGGTCAGTTCCACCTGGCAACACCTTTCACCCCCTGCCCTGCTCCTCTGCTGTTAGCAGCCGGGTCCCAGTCTAAATTTCCCTCTCAGGACTGGATTTCCTTCTAGCTTGTCCCCATGTTTGGCTCTTTCTCATCAATTCTTCTGCACGTGGCTTCTAGAGTTCTGGTCCTAGACCTCACATATGATTGTCTATTTTGACTCACTTGCCTGAGCAAAAGTGAGACCCCGTCTCTACTAAAAATAGAACTAGCTAAGCATGGTGGGGAGCACTTATAGACCCAGCTACTCAGGAGGCTGAGGCAGGCGGATCACTTGAGCTGAAGAGTTTGAAGTTGCTATGAGCTATGATGACATGACAGCACTCTACCCAGGGTGACAGAGTGAGACTCTATCTTTAAAAAAAAAAAAGAAAGAAAGAAAGAAAAAAAAGGAAAAGTGACTAAATGGATGAACGAGTGAATAAAGGGGAGGTGGATGAATGAGTGAAGTCTTCCTGTAAGGTGAGTCCCTAACAGAAGTGAAGGAGGAGTGGGGAGAAAGGAGTGGGGACAGACACAGGGGAGGGAAGCCAGATGGCTGACATGCAGATCTTCAAAGGATGAGTGGAGTCACTTGGGGAGGTAACAGTTCACCGGGCGGATACCTTCGTATGTTCCATGGCGGGTGATGTGAGTTTTCCTCTCAAAGGTTGAGCCTGGTGAGTTGGGCAGAGTGGAGGCGGGAGAATGAGCCCTCCTGTAACTGGAGGTGGAGGCGTTGCCCCGGGTGCTCCCACCTGCAAGTGGGGAAGAACGTAAATCCCCCTGGTGCTTCAGCAGAGATGAGAGAAATGGCAGCTGAGAGCCAGCTATAAAGACCAACTCACAACTAAGGGCGGGTCCCAGGGGATGGACTAGAGGAGCACAACTGAAGGGGCCCATCTCAGCGTTCCCTTGGCTGCTCAAAAACAGGAGGGTAGAATTTCCCTCCTCAGGACTGGATTGCCCCAACAGGAGGGTAGAATGATTGCCCCAACAGGAGGGTAGAATGATTGCCTTGCCTCTCCTGGGCAGACTACTAAAAGGCAAGGCTGTTTTCATGCACAAGATCACAGTGCATGGATATGGAAGGGATTCTGTGGGTCTTTCTTGAGGCCCTGATGTTTAAGGCAGACCTGCCTGGACTGGAAGACAATTGGAGCTCAGAAGCGCTCCTGTACAGGTGAGAGAGCTTCTCGTGGTCAACCTGGCACTCCTTATGTCAGTTTTTAGTTTTACTTCAAGGGTTTCTAAATGGCCTCAGGTGGTCTGCAGGTGTTTTTTTTTTTTTTTTACTGTTTTTTCATTTTGTCTTGTTTTCTTTGCTTTGTTTTGTTTTAGTCTGAAAGAGTGTTTCACTGGGTACAATGGGTTTGTGTTGGATACTTGCCCAGTGGAATCTTGCACAGTATCGGATCACATGTCACCAGCTCCCCCAGCACAGTAACCTGATCATTAAGTTTCTTTTGTTGTTTGTTAATTTAAATTGTAAACTCTTGGGCATGCACATCCTTGTCTAAAAGAGATGGCTTGAAGAGAGTGATCCACTGGGGAAATAGCCAGCTACCCATGAAGTCTTCTTAATTAATGATAGTTATTTATTTGGAGGAGTTAATGAAAACTGATTCCACTGGTGTAAGTAGGCATCGGATGCTGATAATTTAAAAGTCGCACCCTCCCTGATTATGTGTCATTTAGACAACTCTCTGGTGACAAACAATTGGAATTGTTTCTTTCACGCACTGATGCAGGGTTGAGTCTGCCCTTTCTCCTTTGCAGGTCTGTCTCGGTGGCTCTCTCCCTGTCCATCTGCCCTTCCCCTGACCCTCACACCAGGGGACACTTACCTGAGTTGATGTAGCCGCTGCTGCCATGGGTCAGGCTTTGCTTCTCCAGCCGGCTCCCTCCACCAAGAGAGCCTGTTTTAGTATAGCCATTGCTGGTCCCCCCTTCTGCCAGAGACAAGAGCCAGTGACACTTTCAGGGTCTAGTCGGGCTGAAAGATCTCAACATCTGTCTCTCTGTGGAAACCTTCCCTCGTTTCTAACTAGGACCTCCTTAGTTTGGGGGCCTTTTCCCACCCATACTACAAGGTACAAGCTGCTACCCTCCAGTTTTGTTAGTTTGTTTTTGATACAAGTATCTGGAGTGAATATTGTGCCTGATTTAAAAGGAAAGTTTTCTGGGTGGAATATACATAGTCAGACAATTAAGTTTTTGAATTTATTCTAGAAAAAGTCCAACATAACCTCATTGCTGAATATCACTATGGTGACCAGATGGCCGAGGAGAGTACTTCGAAGGTGGCCTGATGGCCATTCCAGAAAAACAATCCCAAAATTGCTTTGTAGGGTGAACTAGACACTGATGCCAGGGCATAGTCTCCCAAGGGGAGTATTTAGAAGGCGACTGTAGTGATACTCAGCAATCAGCACTTTTCTAGGATGAGTTTGTGAACTTAATTGTCTGACCTCATAGCAAGTTGTTCATTAGGAAAATTGAAATATTAGAAAACGTGGCTGCATGATGAGGCTTCTTAATCCAGGACCTGGTTGGGCTGGCTTTTTCAAATGCCTGGTCAGTTCCAGACTCAGCCACTACAAGTGTCAGGGGATGTTGGGGCAGTTCTAAGTTGCTGGTGTCCCACCTGGCAGCCCAGCCCTGCTCCAACCTTCCCCACGATGAGTGGGCTGTCCCCATCCCAGGCAGCCAGGCTTCCTGGAAGTGCAGGGGTAGCAGAAGGGCTCACATCACTTTTCCAGAATCTACTGAACTTGACCTCCTGGAAAAAAGTGGCCTCAACCAGAAGCTTGGCTGGTGGTTCCCCCTCCCCACTGTATGTGTAGGTTGGGTAATATTTCTGATAGTTTAGTGTCTAGAATAGGCAAATCTATAGAGACAGAAGGTAGATTTGTGGTTTCCAGGAGCTAGGGAGAGGGGACAGAAAATGGAGAGTGACTGCTAATGGTCACCAGGTTTCTTCTTGGGGAGTGATAGAAATATTCTAAAATGAGGCTGCTGCAATGGTGACACGACCCTGAACATACTAACCACCACGGAACTATATGCTCCGAATGGGTGGATTTTGTTGCATATACGTTAATGTCAATACCACTATTTGAAAGGAAAGGTTGTTTTGGGGCTCCCATGGATAAGGTCACAGGTATGGGGTCCTTCATATGTGATGTACTGAGAAGAAAGCCATTGAGGCAGTCACTTACTTGGTGGTAAGGATGTAAGTCTTGTAGTTACTGTTTCAGTGATAACTAGAAAAAGACAAAGAAAAATTGAGAGCTTACATAATGCGCTGACGTCTCTGTGTTTTGACAAGGTATCTGCCATAAGCCAAACACATTAAATTTTTGAGTACTTGTGCTTTAAGACCCACTCTTAATGAAATACATGAAAATATGAGAGAAACCAATGGGCTTTAATGTACCTGGAAGATAAGTTCCTATCTCTTTGGAAGCAAAAGACATTAACCACTGATTTGAAACATGAGTTGTCTTGGCATCAGTGTTTCTTGAAGGGGCAAGACCAAGCCCTCTTGTCTCCCAGTTGAGCTGGGACCCACGCTCTGGCTGACTTCACTGTGTCCTTTATTAATTTGGAAGTTGTTTCAAGGACATCATGCATGACAGTGGGTGCTTGGTGAGGTCAGAGATTGAGCAACATCAAAGATAGACTTGAAGAACCGAGTAATACTGAGTCTACAGGGGTAAAGCTTCAGGTGTTTTTTTTGAGACGGAGCCTCAAGCTGTCCCCCTGGGGTAGAGTGCCATGGCATCACGCTCACTGCAACCTCCAACTCCTGGGCTCAAGCGAGTCTCCTGCCTTAGCTTCCCAAGTAGCTGGGACTACAGGC